TGTTTGGATGGATTGCCATTTTGTTGTCTATTAGACGTATATATGGAGGAATTCATTAGCTGTCTATTCGATGACTAGTCTATTCTTGGGCTATGGTTAGACGTCTTTTAAATTTTCACTGACAGCCCAAATTCAGCCTTGTTTTAGCCTAGACCCATATTCACCGTCTATTAGACGTATATCTGTAGTCGTTTAATAGCGGTCTAATTGATGACTAGTCTATTCTTGGGCTATGATTAGACGTCTATTCAATTTTCACTGACAGCCCAAAAAGTCAGTCCTGGCCCAAGCTCCACATCCACAGGAGTAGCAGACCTGAGCAGGCGCTGGCTTTGCAGACATGACATGAGCAGGCGCTGGCTTGGCAGGCATGACGTGAGTAGGCTTTGTAGACTCCGACGTGACGTGAATAATTCCAGACATGACGTGTAAATACTCTGGTGTGGAGGATACTGGAGGACAGCAGGGTTCCTCATCAGTGATCCCCACAGTAAATGGTGAACCAGCCAGCAACAAAGCAAAGTCAATCTTTCAAGAGTCCATTGAGGGGTATTGCGTGGCATTAAATGTGATACATCTTTATCCAAACCAAAATGAAAAATGTCTTTCAGGAAGGTATCATGAAAGTCCACCAAATGACACAACTTACAAAAGTCCACCACATAATCCTCAATGGGCCGGTTTCTTTGGCAAAGTCGATCGAGACGATCTGCTGGGTTCATTTTTCGGTCGAGTATTCTGTAACAAATAGTCCACTGAAGGCGAGTTTAAGATGAACCCAAGTGCAGCTTTATTCCAAAGTATTCCAAAATCCAAACAAATGAAGAAAGACTTGACTTGGCATGAACAGACTTGACTCACTGACAGCAGGTTACAACATCAATACTCGACAGGAGACAATGGCAACATGAGGGCTATTTATATCAAACAATAGAGGTCACATGACAAGAACCAACCAATGAGAGCTACAGACGGCAGTCAACGAGAGTAGCCGCTTGCAGTCGGGGGCGAAGTTGAAAACGGAGCTGTCAAGCCGGACATTTCTGCTCTCAAGTCAGCCGCCGATCGGTTTGCACGGCGCCGCATGAAGTCGAACGCACCTATAGAGAACATAACACATGAACCAAAGAACCAATAGCATGATAACATGAGGGCAAGGGAATCACATGACTAGACAGGGACCATGACTAAACTCCAAAATAAAAGACATGAGAGCAATGAACATGGAACCCAAACAAAACCCATGTTACAGAGTGGTTATACAGTGTAATGTGTTAGTATTCAGTAACATTGATTCAAATATTCTATGCTTTAATGCAATAACAGTATATTTATAAAATTATATATATATACACTGTATATATTCATAGGTGGCAAAATTAATATCAATTAATGATATAAAATATCAATTAATCAGTTTTTCTTTTTATGCACTTACATGTGAGTATACATTACATACAAGTAAATGATATATCTTATTTTAGTTTCCACTGTCATTTATTAAATTTTATTTATTTATTTATTTGAAATTCATTGTCATTTATGTTCACAAAGTGCTCCAGACATACTAGCTATAATAGACTGCTTTATATCACTATTATTTTATTTGCAAATTCCACAGTTATTTTCAAAAATAATTTTCTGGTTGATTTGTAGTTGGGCCAAAGACGAAAAAGGAATCAAGCATTTTCAAGCATCAAAACAATAAGTGTAATACAGCTTTGAATTGTTGTTGTTGTTGTTTTTCAATACATTAGAAAGTGTCCTTATAAATAAATATCATACATTTTTACCATGATTTACAGAAAACAGCCACTAAAATGTCATTCAGTATAACAATCTTGTCAGGCATATTTACCACAGGAATCAGTTTTTGACATATTAAAAGACTAGTTTTACCCCAAATACTACTTGTAATTTTACATTTTTAAACTTCGGCACTATCCCATTTTGGCCATTTGTCAGCAATAAATTTTTACTAATTTAAAACGCAATAAAATTTAGTATATGCTCACTTATTCTTTTATATATTTTAATGCGTTCAGGTCAGAATAATGTTGTTTAAATTTTTACATAAATATAAGTGTTACACTGAATGACAATGGAACATTATTTCACCCACATTTTGACATTTTATTCTCCCAAAACTTAAGTAGACACTTTACTTGCATTTAGTGTGCTTTCCATGTATATAAAATCACTTTTGTAAAATTATTTTGATGCGGACATTTAAATGTCTTTGACTCAGTTATGATGCAATAAGATTAAACCATATTAAACATATTGAATGTCCACTGTAAATTACTCTGAACCTTTTCTACAAAAAAAAAAACAACAAGCTGAGAGTTTTTGTTTTCTCAAAATAAAACTTTATTGATAAGCATTATGACCAAGAACTATTGTATAATCTTTGTGCTTTAGTTTGCAGCAATGGTCTGGTCAACCCAGGCACGGAGTTTGGTGACACGTGCGTACACACCAGGTGAACTGATTGAGCAGACGCTGCTTCCCCAGGACACGATACCAACCAGATTCCAAACTCCATCCTTCTGACAGACCAGAGGACCACCAGAGTCACCCTGAAACACACAAAAGTCAGAACTTTACAGTCTTCAAGAACTTCAAGAACAAACAGAGAGGTAAACTGCGAAATCAATAGAAATTCACCATGCAAGAAGAAGCACCAGAGGCTCCAGCACAGATCATCAGATCGGTAATCTTGGTTCCACAATAACGCTTGCAGTCGTCATTTGTCAGCAGAGTCAGAGCGGCCTTCTGGAGCAGGGCAGGGGTATCAGGAGCTGAAAACACAGATTGGAAGGTGCATTTGAAAAGGTTTCAACATCAAAACTAATTTATTTTATACTAAAATATAAAATAAATATATTAAATATAATATAAAAATGTAAATGCAAATTCAGAATTCTACCATTGTACTTGGTCAGGCCCCTTCCAGAGGTCACACACTTCATGCCTCCAGGGAAGTTGTCGGAGGTTTCAGCAAGACACACGGGAGACACATGAGTGTTGAGCTGAGCGGGGGTGGCCAGCTTGATCAGGAGGATGTCGTTGTTGATGGTGAAGCTGTTGTAGTTAGGGTGCTTGAAAATCTTTATGAAGAGGATACTCATATTCAGTTGTATTCATATTCAATTGTATCATATTTCTGTTAAAACATTGTTGTAGCGAAGGCTACTCTTGAAAGATAATAAGGGCTTGGTTTTTAAAGGGAATAGCAGTGTACCAGGTGTGTCGGTCAGAACACGACAGAGAGGGAAGTGATGAAATGCAGTCGATAACTGCGTCATACTATATAACAATGAGCATAAATCAGTACACGTGATAATATAAACCTTACTCACTCTTATAAGACGCACAAAGCACAATATACACTCGATCTGTGGCTGTAATCAATGCTATTTCTCTTCCCCAGTACCCGTGCCACTGACGAACTGATATCTGCTGCAGCTGATGCAATATGCGATCGCTCCGTGCCGAGTTGCTTCACTTCCGATCTCCCGTGTGCGTCGTACTTTCATAATAAAAGTCCCTGTTCTGGTCGTTGCTACAGTGCTCCTAATTCTCTCAATGGCCTTTTGCACAATTGTCTTAGTGGTTTAGGTATGATACAGAATATACCTTGCCAACAGTCATGGTCTGAATGGGCTCAGCATTGGAAGAAAGATCATGCTCACCCAGGATGACACAGTGAAATGTCCTGATAAAAGAAGAAAATTGCACATAATTCTGAAGAGACATGCATATTCTGAAATAAAGGTTTGTAGATAATAATAATAATAATAATAATAATAATGAGAGTTTATTCATTAATACTGTGTTACCTGACATCGCAGTGAGCAGCAGTCACAACCCACCACTCATTGATCAGGGAGCCACCGCAGAAGTGGAAGCCAGTGGAGTCCTTAAATGAGATGTTCAATTTGTTTATTTATGGATTTTTTTAATGTTTGTTTTATTAAATATCTCTATCATCTATATGTCATTTGTTAATGAAGATGTCTGTACCTGCAGAGACACCTGCAGGGCCAGGAATGGGGCACTGCCTCTTCACCATTCACAATCCTGGAGTAGCCATTGATAATAGGGGGGATGGCAGGAACACCACAGCCTTTAGAATAAAAATAAATCAATAAAAAATAAATATATATATATATATATATATATATATCCTCCTGACTATCAGCTATGGAGTTTTGTCCTCTGTAGAGGACATTATGTTTTAGCAATTTCTCTGAGACGTTACAGTTTTAAGTCTGGATGTCCTGTACAGAGCACATTCAGGGCTTTTCAGAGATACTAATATCGATATTGTTTGGAGGTTTCACCATGACCACTCCCTCTCCTTGGTCTTTAAAAATGGCTGACATT